TTTTTTTTTTTTTTTAAGATTTTATTTATTTGAGAGAGAGAGAGAGAGAGCACAAGGGGGGGGAGGGGAAGGACAGAGGGAGAAGGAGAAGCAGACTCCCCACTGAGCAGGGAGCCCAATGGGGGATCGAACCCAGGATGCTGAGATCACGACCTGAGCCAAAGGCAGATGCTTAACTGACTGAGCCACCCAGGTGCCCCTGTCCTGTTGCTTTTTTATAAGAAGCAGCTCTAGTGTGTTGGGGACCCTGTTTCCCAAAGCCATAGTTATGTTTAGAAGCTCTGCTTGGAGTGAAGGAGTAAGGCTGGCTACGGACCCCAGACACTTGACTCCTGTTTGGTGTCAAGCAGGGGCAGAGTGAGTGAGCCTAGGAAGGTTTTTGTCACTCCCCTGTGGGCTCGGACCCCTGAGGGTAAGGGATACTCCTTGAAAGAGAACAATAATAGTGCCAAGCTAGTCCTCTGGCTAAAGCCCAAAGAGGTCAGCGAGGCCATGCGGCCTGACTTGGAGCCGGAGAATGGACGGAGGCCCCAGGACAACCTTGTGCATTGGGAGCGTCAGGCAGCACATGAGTGTTCTTGATACCAGGACACCTAACTATAACCTCCAGAATTACTGCTGCCTCCAGAGCAGGAAATGACGACCGTCTGTCCCATAGCCACAGACCCTAAGAGTGTCTGTGTCAGGACAGACTGGGCCCAGGACCTTGAGAGGAAGGGGACATGCAAAGAGGAGAGGTCAAGGTGAAAGCCGTGACTTCAGAGGAGTTTGGGGCAGAGGGAGGAAAGGGTCAGCCCTGGGCTGCCAGAAGGTCCGTTCCTTAGTGTCCCTCACCTGTGCAGAGAGCAAGGAGGATGACCAGAGCATGACCAGGCCATGGTGGAGATACCCCAGAGCTAAGCCTCCTGTGGCCCCTGTGCTGCCCTGGGCTCCCCTTCTTACCCACTGCCCCACATGTGGGAGGGGCCTGCATGTGCATCTGTGCTCCTCAGATCCTATGAGTGACACCCCATCAGCAAATGTTCTTACTTGATACGGCCAAAGATATGCAGGGTGGCGAGATGTGTCCTCCCAGGAATTGTCCTGAGCCTGCTTCACTGGGGAGACATAGCTGTTGGGCTGAGGGGCCTCAAGACGTCAGGCCTTTCTGATTTCTTCCTGGGAATATTGTACCCCTCCCCAGCCCATCCTTCTGGATGCCTGGCAGGGCCCACAGACCTCAGCAGAGTAAAGACCTGCTGACCCCTGGACTGTCATGGGTGATGCCTAAGTGGAGACTCCTTGTTCTCTGACCTTGTCCACTGCTGACTCACATGGAAAGTGGAACGTTTCCATTTTCAGATGACTTCCTCTCGGCGCATTCCCATCAGGCTGACACAAGTGACAGCCATAGAAAGCCCTGGACCAGCAGGCAGGCACCTCATTCCTGTGCCCCCCTCCCAGCAGGGCCCACTCTGTGACATGGGTACAAGTGACTCACCCTCTTGAGCCTCAGCTACTGTACATGGAAAGGAAAAATCAATCTTAGCCCCCTGCCAATGACATTTCATGTGTTAAGAGAGAAACTAGAGGCTAGGAAAGTGAAGTGCTTTGGTAACTTCTTACGTTCTACCAAACACGAGGAATTCTTTTTATTCATCATTGTGATTCCGAATTCAGCTTCAAGCTTGCATTCCCCATCTCCCAGAGAAGTGTGAAGGGAGTGGATGGCTGGGGAAAAAGGATGAAGATGTCTCAGAGGAAGCGATTCTGGCAGAAGTGTTCACACTAAAGGAACTCTCTTGAAAGTATGTCATGACATCGAAAACATGGAGGGCAAAATGTTGGAAGTCTATCCAAACTTAGAAAGCAGCATGACAGTTCGCCAGGGCATCGAAAAGGTGCTCACTCTATCCCAAAAGTTACAGAAGTATATGAGAAGGACCGTAAGCAGTGTTAAAACTACTCTTGATACACTTTTTGCAGGGAAATGGTTTAATTTTCAGTGGTTAAAATCAACATACTAATAAGTAGTAGTTCTACTATTTTATTCATTCCTCAACATGTTTATCACCAATAGGAAGAGAATTCTTAATGGTTGGCAAAAAACAGTTTTGAATGGCCGCCGAAAAACCATAACTTTGCCTATGGATTCTTAAGGTGGCTTTGCATAGTTTCATCTTGCAGGGTCATTTTTATGGCTCGGCTCTACCATGCAAAGCAAAGTCAACCTCTGATGATTTTTCAGCTTGCTGCTTTTTCATTTGCTTACTCAGTAGAATGCAAGGTCTGTGGCACTCAGTAAATGTTTGTGAGTAAATCAAGGATTGGGAATAGAAGGTGTATCTGGAAATGAGGGGAAGGGGTCAGCTGGTCTGGAGACATTCCTGTGAACATGTCCACCCTGCCCCCGTGCCTCCTGTCAGCCCTCATCTTAGGGCATAGGGGATTTTTCCCACCGAGTGTGAGGTCAGTGTTCCTGGAACCCTGGGGATCATTGCTCCTGCTCCAGTGGAATAAACTCCGGTGGAAAGTACCTGATAACCTGATGCATCTGGTTTTGCTCTGAGCCACCATGGCCTTCTCATGGCTTAGAGTTAAAGATTTGAGGGTCGTTTGGATGACAGGGACACAGTACCAGGTCCCGCTCTCTCTTTTCCTCTTCAAGAGCACAGTTCTCAGTCTGATGAGGCTGTGAAAAGAAAGGAGGCAGAAGAGCAAAATCCCAAGGAGCATCCCTCCAGGGCTGAATGCCAAGGCTGGAGCCCTCTCCTCTCTAAATCTCTCTGTCACCTTTGCATCCAGGATTACTGTTTGCCACTTTCTCTCTCTCTCTCAGCCTCTCCATTGGTCTGATTCTGTGCCCTTGGGCTAGAGGGATGGACACACACACACACGCGCGGCCACTGGCACCTCACCCAGGCCCCCAGTGCCCCCAGTGCCCCTAGGTGGTCTCAGACTCAAGTCTCCACCTTTAAGGGACACAGCTCAGTGGGAGCCAGAAGACCTGGCCTCCTCCTGTGCTGTCATTTCCTCCTCCTTCATTCTGCGCCCCACATTGGATGCTCTGGGCCATTCCCGGTTCAGTTCCTCCGCCTGCCACCAGCTTGGAGTGAGTCCTCAGCCTTCCCTTCCCCCACCAAGCCTCCAGAAGCACTTCCCCAGGAATAACGGGCTGGATCTAGAGTGACCTGGACATCAGGCAGGTCCTCATTGGTGAGGAAGAAAGAGGGACAATCTCTTGTTTAGGTTTAGATGTTACTGGATCTGAAGTGAAACCAGATCTTGTTGAGTACAGGAAGGGGCAGGGAGATCCAAGAGAGACCTTCAATTTTTAAAAAAGGCACAGAGGGCACAATATTTCAGGGTAAGAAGAGATGTGACACCAGAGAGAAATTGCAGAGACATAATGGATACCACGTGGCATCTTGCCTGTCCAGGGGCTGCCTCAGGAGAGCCCGAGGTGGGGCTGCTGCATCAGGACTGGGCTCCCAGCTCCTCATTAGCCTGCTGCTCCTCAAGACCAGCAGAGTTGGGGTCTTTTCTCTGGAACTCAGGAAGGGTCTTCTGGCATTCCTGGAGCCCCTTAGGTCTAGAAAAACAGATGGGCTTATTTTCTTTCTGCACCTTGTGGCTTGTCATATTCTCCAATATAATGCTCAGTAGAATTGGAGAGAATTCCTTGATTTCTGTTGATCCAATGGAAAGGTGTTCCCCAGCATCGTGGCCACACCCCAGGCTCCAGGAGAGGTGGGCTGACATTCCGGGGACACAGAGTGCTGTCCACTTGGCGCAGGGCAGAAGCACAGAAACATTCTAAAGGCCCCAATAAGGCAGACGTTCTGGGATCCTAGTTGGAATTCTGTGAATGGAAAAGGTGGGGGCAGGACACCCACTCTAATGAGCTTAGGGGCTGCTCTGGCCTATGTAGCAAATGAAGACCATGAGAAAAGGTGACCAGGGTGCAATAGAAACATCCTTCAAATTCATGCCATGGCCCTGGGAGTTGTCCTAAGCCAGTCCTGATCCTGGGCAGGAAGGATAGCCCTTCATATAGATGTGTTCCTGGTGCTCCTGCTTCCAACCCCACAGTGTGTCCCCTGATCCAAAGGCTCTGCGGGAGGTGGACAGAGGAGTGTGCCTTGCCTCACAAGGGAAAGAGTGTTTGGCTCATACTAAACGTTATTTAGATCTGAAGACAGTGATCACTTCCGCCTCCTTGGATCTCCTAGACACTCGGATCCCATAGACCCTTCCCAAGCCTGGACTTAGGCAGTTTTCCTGTTTCCCTGAGGTCCAGGTAAAGTCTGTCAGTCACGTGTCTTTAACATTGAGATTGTCCAACCCCTTGATGGGGCAGATCCATCCAAACCCCTTGCCTGAAGGTGTCTACCAATTACTCCCTGCGGGGAGTGGGGTCTGGATTTGCTGGCCTAAAAATAAAATTAACAGGGACCTTTAAATTTCCTGCAAAGGTTATTGGACGTACTGGATGAAAAGTTCCAGAGCACCATTTCTGTGCCCAGTGACTGCTCAGTAATCAGGGACATTTACGATTATCTTTGTCACTGATCTCAGTTTCCTACAGCTGATTAATAAAGGTGATTGCCTGGGGTCTAAAATGCCCATAGAGCACATTCCAATTTAACCCTGTTTGACACAAAGCCTGCTGATATGGGTGGTGGAAATTTCGAGAAAGCAGTCTCCATGAAGTTACTAAAGTGGAGAACATCCTTCAGAGAATCCCAATCTCCTCGCCCTTTTCTTGGCCAATTCCCGGTTGTAATTTTGACCTGACTTCCTTCAGGGAAGCCTTGACTCTCAAAATCTGGAAGACCAGCCATCCCTCAGTTGTACATCTCTTCTTCTATGAATGCACACATGTTTTGCAGTTTTAGGTTACATAAAGTATAAGTGACTATTTGATATTCTGGAATTTTATTTTGTTTATTTCTTTTCCTTTTGGGACAACACCACTGTCTGCATAAAGCTGTCTTAACTTGAACATTTGAGTTAAACTGATGTGGCCAAAACTCCCCCAAGTATACCTCCAGGTTGGTTTTCTTTTCTTTTTCTTTCATGAATGGGGCATATGATTTAGTCAGTTGTATGGCAAAAGTCAAAAACCCAATCTGGATTAACTGGATGGAGATCCAGTGATAATAACATTGGGCTCTCAGCTAGAAATTTGAGCTAGGATCTGAAAAAGGGAGGTGTAGCCAGAAAGGATAATACTGCTTCTGGGGAGTGAGAGGAGAGACCCTGAGGTCTGAGCAGATTGCTCCGTGCACCATGTCCCCTTCTGGTGAGGAGGAGCCCTGAGCTTGGGACGCTGCCATCATATTGCCCCAGCCATGCAGTATGAATGAGCAGGCTTTGCTTTTGCCTCAAAATGCAGTTTTGCCTTAATCTCAAACATTTTGATTTCTGCTTTGGTGTATGCCATTTATAGACGTTTACGATATTCCTTTTTTTTTAAATTTTTTTATTGTTATGTTAATCCCCATACATTCCATCATTAGTTTTAGATGTAGTGTTCCATGATTCACTGTTTGTGCATAACACCCAGTGCTCCATGCAGAACGTGCCCTCCTCAATACCCATCACCAGGCTAACCCATCCTCCCACCCTCCTCCCCTCTAGAACCCTCAGTTTGTTTTTCAGAGTCCATCGTCTCTCATGGTTCATCTACCCCTCCGATTTCCCCCCCTTCATTCTTCCCCTCCTACTACATTCTTCTTCTTCTTCTTCTTTTTTCTTTCTTAACATATATTGCATTATTTGTTTCAGAGGTACAGATCTGAGATTCAACAGTCTTGCACAATTCACAGCACTTACCAGAGCACATATCCTCTCCAGTGTCTATCACCCAGTCACCCCATCCCTCCCCCCCACCCCCCACTCCAGCAACCCTCAGTTTGTTTCCTGAGATCAAGAATTCCTCATATCAGTGAGGTCATATGATATATGTCTTTCTCTGTTTGACTTATTTCGCTCAGCATAATACCCTCCAGTTCCATCCACGTTGTTGCAAATGGCAAGATCGCATTCCTTTTGATGGCTGCATAATATTCCATTGTATATATATACCACTTCTTCTTTATCCATTCATCTGTCGATGGACATCTTGGCTCTTTCCACAGTTTGGCTATTGTGGACATTGCTGCTATAAACATCGGGGTGCACGTACCCTTTCGGATCCCTACTTCTGTATCTTTGGGGTAAATACCCAGTAGTGCAATTGCTGGATCATATGGTAGCTCTATTTTCAACTTTTTGAGGAACCTCCATCCTGTTTTCCAGAGTGGCTGCACCAGCTTGCATTCCCACCAACAGTGGAGGAGGGTTCCCCTTTCTCCGCATCCCCGCCAACATCTGTCGTTTCCTGACTTGTTAATTTTAGCCATTCTGACTGGTGTGAGGTGGTATCTCATTGAGGTTTTGATTTGGATTTCCCTGATGCCGAGCAATATTGAGCACTTTTTCATGTGTCTGTTGGCCATTTGGATGTCTTCTTTGGAAAAATGTCTGTTCATGTCTTCTGCCCATTTCTTGATTGGATTCTTTGTTCTTTGGGTGTTGAGTTTGATGAGTTCTTTATAGATTTTGGACACTAGCCCTTTATCTGATATGTCATTTTGCAAATATCTTCTCCCATTCTGTCGGTTGTCTTTTGGTTTCGTTTACGATATTTCTTAACCGAATAGATTTTTTTTGGAAATGGAAGACCTCTAATTAGTTGGAATTTTTTATGACATTTTAAATATTGAGTTTGTGTTCAGTAATTATAGTTCGTATAATTTATTTTGTGATTTCACTAAAGCTTTTTTAGAAAAATAATAAACTAAAGGCTTAAAAAAAATTCCATAGAAAAAAAATATTTCATTGAATATTTTTAAAAGTGGAGGTCTTGTTCTGAATGTGAGCTCTGTGTTCCCCTAAATAAAATAGTAATTCTCATATTCATAGGAGAGACATGTAATAAAATCATCTTGAAATAGTATATATTTTTTTCATCACCAACTTCCACAGGCTGTAGAATACTGTTATGCTACTTTTACAGTTGAAAAATTTTTAAATGATGTAATGTTACTCATTGTCCAGGTGTTCCTTAATCTTTTACATCTGGGCTTATTTGTTAGATCTGAGAAGGGGCTCATTCTGGGTCACATGACATTCCTTATTCCTCTATATATTCAATATTCAGGGGACAGTCAGCAACTTCTCCCTGAAATGGATGGGGTCGGTTTTCAGGCTCCTTGGTACTAACTCTGCAGTGGGCTAGAATTAAATGTGGCAGTAGCTGGATATGGGATGGGAGCAGTGGTGATCTTGCTCCCCCATCGGGGCCTGGCAAGATGCACATTCTGGTGCCAGCAGGGGCAAAGCCACCCAGCAGAGAATGGAATTGGGGTAAACGGAGGACTCCCCAACTATTGCCAGACCAGTGACTTTGGCCTTGAGTTGGTTCCTCTCAAGGGTGGAGGGATATGGGGTTGCTGGCCCTCAGCCTTGTTCCCTGAATATTTTGCCAGGATTCTTTTCGGAGCAGATTCATCAGGATGAGCATGCCGGCTCCACCCAGACTCCTGGACCTGGCGGGTCAGAGCCTGCTGAGGGACCAGGCCTCGGCCATTGCTGCTCTGGAGGTGCTGCCCATGGAGCTCTTCCCACCACTGTTCATGGCGGCCTTCGCTGGGAGGCACAGCGAGACCCTGAAGGCGATGGTGCAGTCCTGGCCCTTCGCCTGCCTCCCTCTGGGGGCCCTGATGAAGGAGCAGCAGCCTCACCAGGAGACCTTCCAAGCTGCGCTCGATGGACTTGATGTCCTGCTTACCCAGGAGGTTCGCCCCAGGTGAGGGTGATCCTGTAGCCTGGGAGGGCCTTGGGGATCCAAGCAAGATACAGCTGGGGTCAGGGAAAGTGCAGGGCCACAGGGCGGGCCAGAGGTTTCTGTGAGGAAGCTCAGAACAGCCTTGGGGCCATCTCTGGGGTCACTCTGGGAACAGGCTGTGGACATGTTGGGCTGATTGAGATGCAGAGGGTGACCAAAAGGAACATGTTGCCCACTTCCTCCCGGTAGCACTTAAAGGTACTGCAAGTGGGACCAAGAAGGATCCCAGTAGCCCAAGGAGCCACTGACATCCAGGGTGTGGAGTAAAAGTGCAGGTCAGGCGTCTGGGCCTTGCCTAGATTCTGTCTTACTCCCCATTGATCTGAAAGTATCTCAGTCTGTCTCCCATCTTCCCTGTAGGAGGTGGAAACTGCAGGTGCTAGATTTACGGAAGAATGCTCATCAGGACTTTTGGACTGTGTGGTCTGGGACCAGGGCCAGTATGTACTCCCTGTTGGAGCCAGAGGGGGCCCAACCCATGAGGAAGAGGCGAAAAGTGGAGGGTTGCAAGCCAGGGCCCAAGCCACCCTTGGCTCCTGTGGAGGTGCTGATAGACCTTTGCCTCAAGGAAGGTACCCCTGACGAGTCCCTCGCCTACCTCATCCAGAAAGTCCAGCAGAGGAAGGGTCTGCTGCGCCTGTGTTGTAAGAAGCTGAAGATTTTCGCAGTGCCCATGCAGACCATCAAGAAGATCCTGAAAATCGTACAGCTGGACTCTATCCAGGATTTGGAAGTGAACTGCACCTGGAAACTGTCCACCCTGGGGAAGTTTGCTCCTCATGTGGGTCAGATGGGCAATCTGCGCAGGCTCCTCCTCTCACACATCCACATGTCTTCCCACAGCACCCCGGCGAAGGAGCAGCAGTGTGTCAGACAGCTCACTGCTCAGTTCCTCAGGCTGCACCACCTTGAGGAGCTCTATTTGGACTCGATCTCCTTCCTCGAAGACCGCCTGGACCAGGTGCTCAGGTGAGGGATGGTGAGGTTTCTCGGTGGATGAGCATAAGCCCTTTTTTCTTTCAGTGAACAATAATGGGCATCTGTCATGTGCCAGAGTGTATCATGAGTCACTAGAAGGTCCACACACTGTCCCTGCTCTGTCCCCACGCATGTTGTCACATAATGTCCCAGATAAAGGTTGGAGGTATGAACTAGGATAGATGCTATTCGGAGGGGACTCTAGTTAGGAATCTATATAAGGGGGGCTTTGGGGCAGGCGAGGGTGGCTTTGGGAATTCTTCCTGAGAAAATGATGCCTACATTATGATGATCAAAAATAACTGAACTTGAGGGTATTGATGAAGGGAAAGTGTATCCGATGTGAAGTTTTGGATCACAAATTCTGCACTTGGCAGCTTTGTCAACCGGAGCCTCTCCCTCCAAACCTGCCTTCAGTTCCCTGTCTGTAAAGGGTTACTCTGGGTTCCACATAAGGCAATAGAGAGGGAATGCCTGATTAGGGGGAGGCGGATGAAAGGGAGGGAGTAGGAGTGAAGACTTGTGGAAAGTGATAGCTGGTATGTGGATGATACAGTGATCCAAGTTAGGCCCTGCAGGCTGCGTGTTGCCAGGCCTTGCCCAGATCAGCTCTTTGTGCACATCTCCCATTAGCCTCATTGGAAACAGGTACCGTTGACTGGGGTTGTAGAAGCAGCCAGAAGGAAGCCCGAGTTGAAAGCATTTCTAGTCCTGTTTCCCAGTACTAAACTTCACTGATTCATTTCCTTTTTGGAGACGTGGGGCCAGGCTCCCCTTTGAGTGCATCATATTGTTGGGTTGATTCCTGCTCAAGCACTTCCGAGGGGCATGCTGTGCTGCATTTGACAGCAAAGGGGGCATTTGAGATTTCATTCATTTGACCAAGTCATCCAGCAGATGAGTAATGCAGAAAGGACTCCCCTGAAACTTGGATGGATTTGAGTCCTTTTTTTCCCCCAGGCAGCATCCTGGGGCTTGACCTTCATCTGTAATGCCCTGGGTCTGGGTGGAATGGGCTTCTCTTTCCTCAAGGCCCAGGTCATCCCCATGTCCCTCTGCCCGCCACATCTGTTCCCCCCAGAACTAACTGCTTTGTCTCTCCCCAGGTGCCTGAAGACCCCCTTGGAGACCCTGTCAATAACTAATTGCCTGCTTTCGGAATCTGACTTGATACATCTGTCCCAGCACCTGAACGTCAGTCAGCTAAAGGACCTGGGTCTCAGCGGGGTCAGCCTGACCAATATGAGTCCTGGGCCTCTCCAAGTTCTGATAGAGAGAGCCTCCGCCACCCTCCAGGACCTGGACTTAGATGAGTGTGGGATCATGGACTCCCAGTTCACTGTCATCCTGCCTGCCCTGGGCCGCTGCTCCCAGCTCACAACCTTCAGCTTCTGTGGAAACCCCATCTCCATGGCCGTCCTGGAGAACCTGCTGCGCCACACCATTGGGCTGAGCAAGCTGAGTCACGTGCTGTATCCGGCCCCCCTGGAGAGTTACGAGGATGCCCGTGGCACCCTCCAACTGGGCAGACTTGCCCAGCTGCATGCCAGGCTGAAGCAGATGCTGCAGGAGTTGGGGCGGCCAGGCATGGTCTGGTTCAGTGCCAACCCCTGCCCTCACTGCGGCGACAGGACCTTCTATGACCCTGAGCCCATTCTGTGCCCCTGTTACATGCCTGCCTAGCTGGAGACACATACTGGACACTGAAGCCCAGGCGTAAGTGTATCTTAAAGGAGCGCAGAAGCCACAGTTTGAGAAAATCTGCCCGATGTGAGCAGGAAAAGGAAAGGTGATTGGTTGGGCGGGGGGGGGGTATGTTGACTTGGGAGTTAATAGGATCTTTGGGGAGATGCATCTTACAGCGTTAGAAATAATGAATCTGAATTTCTAGAGGGAGACTCAGGTGTGGGCGGTAGATGTGGGAGTTATCCCTGCATAGATGGTTGTAAAGACACGGTCAGAAATAAAGAGAACCTCAGTGTCAACCATCTGGTGTCCTCTGTGCTACATGAAGCTTATTCTCCAGTTTAAACCTCAGGAATCTGCAGTTCCTGATTAAACAAGAAGGTATAGCATCCATGATGCTCAGACACTAAGCTGGGTGAGGTTCAGCCCCAGGAGTTCCTGGCACCATTTATCATTCTTCCATTTGGCTCTTATCTCTGGTGCATCTGTTACCTCCTCACTTAATTTCTGTGGCTGTTTAAGCAGTCAACACACACAAAGTGCATCCTCAGGGCCTAGAACACACTAGGGGGCCAATAGTACCACTGGAGGAAAGGTGCTTTGGAGGGGTCCTCGCTAACTCTGCCAAGACTCTGGACTCGAGCACTTCTCCCCAATGGGTCCAAAGTCTCCATCCCTACCTTTGGCTGTACCAAGGTAGGGTTTTACTGTGTACAAGTCAGGTCCCCAGTACTGGAGGGGATGTACACCCTGCAGATGAGCTAGGGCCTCTGGGCCCTACCAGCCCATTCCTGTCTTCCCACCAGGTGCAGTCCTTTCTTGAATTCAGTTAGTTGTGGTCAGTAAAAATACCTAAATTCCTTTTAGCAAAATACTAAGATCATATTTGTTTCCCACATTAAAAATATGACCTCTTTTTGTGGGGGCTAGGTCACGTCAGTGCGTGTTTGACTTTCTCTCCAAAAAATCCACCTTCCTCCTTATCAAAGGTAGTAAGCCAACTCTGAGCAAGGAAGATGCTATGGATTTGGGTCCTAAGAATGAATAAGCAAACCCTTGCCATGTCCTGGGGAACACTTGGGTGGATGCAGGTAAATGTCAGACTTGGGAATTGGGGGTGTGGTGGGGCCACCCTGTGAGGCCAATCATCCAAATGAAGATATCACACTGTGGGGTCGGACTCCATGGTCAATGGGTAGTTAGCTGTCCAGCGAGCATGAGGGATCCCTGTTCCCACACCCCTGCATCCTGTCCCTAGGCTGCCTCACCTCCCTCACTGCATGGCCTCCCAGAGAAATACCTGGAGAGAAGACCACACAAGGCCCAGGGCAGGGCTCCAACTGCACATTTCCCTGAGTATAAGCAAGTCAGCCCTGCTTGTTCTTCCACTGCCTCTCATTCAGTACTAGCCACGTGTGTGTGTGTGTGTGTGCGCGCGCACACACACGTACCACTGTCCTTGCTGGGTGTCAGCACCTTCCTCTTTTGCCACACACAACTGGCCCCTTGATCTCTTCCTATAGCGGTTACCCTCTTCTGCCTTCTAGCCTCCTATCCTACACCTAAAAAACCAGAAGCGGGCCCATCAGTTTGCGGGACATACTTTGCCATTTCTGCAGAAGAGAAAACAGAAATCTGTGTAACTGATGGAATGCCCCAAAAAAGAGGGTCAGGAAAATATCTCATTTTTTCCTGACGTGCACCTTGTCCTAGCATCCCTTACGTAGACCCAAGTTACAGGGACTAATTTCCAGAATGGGAACCAGCAGCTCTAGGATTTGAGGAAAAGTTCACAAAATGGGCAGGTTCTCTGGGAGGAAGAGCAAAAAACAAAGCATCACATGATCTCAGCACTGGGTTCCTCAATCACAAAGTAGAGACAACACTCCATAACGACACGGTGAGATTTACCTATGGGACTCACACGAAAAGCATGCGTTGGAGTGCCCTGTTCATGGATGGCCCACTGCAGCAGAGTGATGATCATAGCTGCCCAACACAAGTAAAGGAAGAAAAAGTCAACAGTGCATCTTGCTTTTAACACAGGGTGTCCTACAGTCAGGACTCTCTTTGGCCTGGAGACCTCATTTGAGAGAGAAATCGGGCAAGATTCTTTACTCGGAATTTAGACTTTGCCATCAAAATGTTCAAAGAGGCATGGTATCGAGGCAATGAGGTTTTTAAAAGCTGGGTTTGGTTGGGGAGAGTCCTCATCAATAAGGATGGTCATACAAAGGGGCCTGGGGAGGTAGTGATTGCTGGTGGCAGGGGGACCACCTAGATGAAGGCCCTGTTGAGGAAGATAGGAGTCTCCAGGTCATCAGAAAGCAGGCAGGAGGGTATGGCACACACAGTAGGTTGTTCAGTAGTAATTCACCTTGGCACCACTGATCTGCACAGGAGACAGGCAGACTGGATTTAGGGCAGCTGGGGGATAAGGGCGTGAGAGGGAAGAATATGGATAGAAAAGAATCAGAGTGCAATCTCATGTAACAAGCCTGGGGAATCATCCAGAGGCTGAAAAGACACCGAAAGGAGACCCGAGGCCTGGGCAGAACGAAAATGTCAAATAATTCTAGGAGAGGGAGTCGGGGAGAACTGAACAATTTCCTAATGCCAGCAAGAACTGCTGACTTGACCCAAAATCCAGATCAGTAGTAGTGGTTTTTTGTTTTGTTTTGTTTTTGTTTTTTGTTTGTTTGTTTTTAAGTAGGTTCTACCCAGCATAGAGCCCAACACAGGGCTTGAGCTCAAGACCCTGGGATCAAGACCTGAGCTGAGAACAAGAGTCAGATGCTCAGCTGACAGAGCCACCCAGGCGCCCCCTGGATCAGTATTAGGAACCCAGATTACTGCTATTACTACTGATAAGGGCAGGGGTGTGGCTGTACAACCAGAAAGAGAGAGAAGTAGCCCAGACTCCGCCACTGACGTGAAATCATCGTGAGAAGCATATTTACATCGCCTGACCAATCTCGTATCTTACCCGTGATCTTGGGCTGTGAAACTTAAAAAGACAGATCGGCTGAGCAACGGGAGACCCCTCGGGCTGAGCTAAATTCTGGTTGGGATTCATTTGCTGCTCCAGAGAGAGAACTTCAGCATTGAGAGGGGACAAACCTGGGGTTCTCACAGGAGGCTGTTGGTCCAGACACCAAAGAGTTGTCAAGATGAATTTAGAAAGAGCGGAAGAACAAGAGGGAGAGGTGACTCAGCATTTGGACAAGCAGAGTTTAATATAATATGATGAATGGAATATTATGCAGCCATCAAAAGGAATGAGATCTTGCCATTTGCAACGATGTGGATGGAACTGGAGGGTATTATGCTGAGCAAAATAAGTCAAACAGAGAAAGACATGTATCATATGACCTTACTGATAAGAGGAATTCTTAATCTCAGCGAATAAACTGAGGGTTGCTGGAGTGGGGGGTGGGGTGGGAGGGATGGGGTGACTGGGTGATAGACACTGGGGAGGGTATGTGCTCTGGTGAGCGCTGTGAATTGTGCAAGACTGTTGAATCCCAGATCTGTACCTCTGAAACAAATAATGCAATATATGTTAAGGAAAAAAAAAGAAGAATGTAGTAGGAGGGGAAGAATGAAGGGGGGGAAATCGGAAGGGGAGACGCACCATGAGAGACGATGGACTCTGAAAAACAAACTGAGGTATCTAGAGGGGAGGAGGGTGGGAGGATGGGTTAGCCTGGTGATGTGTATTAAAGAGGGCACGTTCTGCAAGGAACACTGGGTGTGATGCACAAACAATGAATCATGGAACACTACATCTAAAACTAATGATGTAATGTATGGTGATTAACATAACAATAAAAAAATTAAAAAAAATAATATGATGAGGCAGGACCTCAGAGGGCTGGGGCACAAAGCCACTGTCCACAGGACTTTTCTTCAATGTTTTCTTCAGTAAATCTTCCAGTCTTGAGAAAGAGCAGGGACACGGGTCCCTGCGTCTATGTCCCCTGCACTGTGGAATTGCAGGCCATCAACACTGTGTGGATCCTAAAGATGTCAGTGTGGATTTCACATGAAATGCACAAGTGCCTGGTGGATCCTGGGGTCTATCAGACCTCTGCAGGTGCCACTCACTCATGGTCATGGTGAGCACCTGCGCAGCCTTATTCTAGTCCACAGGCTATTCAATATTTTGAAAATTAATAAAGAGAAACCTCACTAAAATGGAGTCTGGCGACCAGAAAGGGGACCTCTCCTGCCTACCAAGGAGTCCCGTGCAGACCCAACGGGAAGAGACCTACCTTCCGTTCCCAGCAGGAAGAAGAGGATGCTTCACTACCGCAACAGGAGGAAGGAAGATGCTCAGGCAACGAGTGACAGTCCCAACTCAGGTAATGAAAAGCCACTATGCTAGTTTACTCTGATGGACTTTTTGTTTCTAATAACCCCTTCCAGCCCCCAGCCCACCTTTCCTCTGTAAAAGAGCGGTCCTCTGCTTTGTTCTCCAGACTTGCCTAGGGTTTGGCCACAACTTCTTTGTTATGAATTACAGTTCTCTGCTATTCCTGAATAAACCCATTTCACCAGTTAAATAACTGAGGTTTTTTTCTTTCTTTCTTTTTAATTTTTTTAAAGATTTTATTTATTTATTTGACAGAGAGAGACACAGCGAGAGAGGGAACACAAGCAGGGGGAGTGGGAGAGGGAGAAGCAGGCTTCCCACAGAGCAGGGAGCCCGATGCGGGGCTCGATCCCAGCACCCTGGGATCATGACCTGAGCTGAAGGCAGACGTTTAACGACTGAGCCACCCAGGCGCCCCTCTTTTTAATATTTTTATTTTTTATTGAAGGATAGTTGATGACCAGTGTTATATTAGTTTCAAGGGTAAACATAGTGATTCAAAAACTCTGTTTGTTATGCTGTGCTCATCACACCATCTGGCACCATACACCACTATTACAATACCATTGACTATATTCCCTATGTTGTAACTTTCATCCCTGTGACTTATTCCTTCCATAAC